CCTTTTTTCACCTGGGAATTGAGTGTAACTGAATACCAATGTCAGAGAGTGTGTTGCTTTCGGCTCGCAACACTCATTGAAAAACCAAAACCTACTTGCATGATCTTGCCACACTAGATCTGTATCACATCTGTGATGCAGGTATGATACAGCCATAAGGAGTTGCAACCAATCTTGCTTGAACGCATCAATGGCACATCAAAGCAACAAGAATAGCAATGGCACATCATTGCACTTCTTTGGGGAGTCGACTGGGGCGAAGGCGACTGAGCAAGCTTGTCACGTGTCCTCCTTCAGCTCACCGTGAAGTAAGTCTAGTCTTTCATCGCCCACAGGGGACATGGCAGGCAAAAACAGCAACGGAAAGTGGCAGGATGTGGCAGGCGTTGCATGGTGAAGACTATAATGATTGATGTGCAAAATGATTCGAACCAACATGGTGTGGGTCACATTGGCCCCTCCAAAACACATCAAAACACATTCCGTCCTGTTCCTATTGTGTGTTGGGTGCCTGATGCCCCAAAAAAAAAATTCTATCATCCTCTATATCCGACTCTATCCATTCCAAAAGGGCTCTACTATCCATCTGACATTGTGGGTATCTACATGTATCTACTGGGTGGCTAGCCTAAACCAGCGCTCCTCTCCAGTCCCATTGGTCACGAGATCGGTGATGGGGCCACCCACTGGTCGATGTCCCGACGAGCTTGGCAGAGAACGTTTGGAGCCAGCTTCTTGGTCGACGAATTTCTGCCTACTGGACGACCAGTACTGGACATATACTAAAACGCATCTACAAGCCAAGAAACATCATGGACCGGATTCTTCCTAGAGGATCATCGGATATCCTGGTTGAAAAAGGTCACTGGGGCCATAGAAAGGCTCAGAGTGAACGTCCTTCGGGGGGTCCTTCGGTTCTGACCCCAGGCCACGGCCACAAGTGAGCTGGAGCCACAGAAGTGCAAGCAAACATCAGAACATGTCAGAAATCAACTCAACTCACAGAACATCTACGACACTTCAAGTTGGACATCTGTATTGAGCCACTTGCACCAAGCCACTCGCTTTCAAACATGCCGTTCTTTTTCTGGGCGGCTGAGCTTGTGCAGAATCGATTCAAAGCAGTAGTGGTCACTTTCAACCTCACATGGCCAGTTAATGAGTCAGAAGTAAGCCTTGAGCTGCTATCAAACATGACATCTCTCTCCCCACCACCTTCAGATTGCAATCTTCCCCTTCTAGCTTATGATATGCAATGCTTATGTATTCGATCATATTCGAAACTTAAGTGAACGCCAACCAGTCTGCGAACATCGTATGAAAAGAGTGTGTCATAATTCAAGATGTCTTTCTCAGATTTTGCTAGTGGAGACTTTTTATATATTTGTGTCCATTCTGCATCCATTGGCTCCGCTACGGTATTTGGAGGCCAGCAGCGCTGCTTCTGTTCATCATGAGCTCCACCAGCGGGGCAGGCTCGGTATGCATCACAAGTTTGACTTGACTGGGAGCCATGAGAAAAAAGCCTCTTCCGTTCATGTCCATTCCCTATTGATGTTGGCGCCTATTTTAACTTCTCTGCGGCTAGCCCGGGAAAAGTCTGCGATGAAACATGCCATAACTAACTGGCGGTCGCACTCGGCAAACCAAAGCGCCCACCAGGACTGAAGTGTTTTAAACACTTCAAAGCCTTGGACAAGAACCCTTGAACTGGTCCAAAAGTATGGGAAAGCCGGAGATCTCAGCAAACAGCACGAGGTGCTATCTATTGACGGCGCTTGGACATCAACAAATTGATTCCATCCTCCGAGGATTGTGTGATTGACACTTTTGGCGTAGGAGCTGGCGATCCTTCCTGGATTCGGAGATTGAAGTTCTTCACGATGAACGCCAGCAAGTAGACACCCTCCACGTAGGCAAGCCTCTTGCCAATGCACGCACGACCACCAAAGCCAAATGGGAGGTACATGTCTGGATAACCCTTTTCCATTCTCTCAGGACGAAAGTCCATCACATCGCTGCCCCACGTGTCTTCGTTGTGTGCCAGCATCAATTGGCTGATCACTAGCAAAGTACCCCTTGGAATTGAGTACTTCCCACCCAGTGTCACGTCAGCCTCCGCTTGGCGTACATGTCCAATGACCGTGGGGTGCAAGCGAAGAGCCTCCTGCCACACCATCCAGGTATAAGGCAGCGAGCCCTGAACATGTGTCAATTGCATGTTGTCCAGATCAAGGGTGGATGCTTCTGCAAGAATCTTTTCTTGCACCTCAGGATTGCGAAGGAAACAAATTGTCCTCTAAATATGTTTAGATTGTTTCCATATTGTTTCCTCATTGTGTTTTCTTGCTCAAACATTTTTCCCTTGGCACCTCAGGATTGCGAGCCACCTCCAGAAGTGCCCATGATGTTGTATAGCCTGTGGTCTCGTGGCCGGCCATCAGCAAAGTGAGAATTTCATCTCGTAATTCTGCCTTGCTCATCTTTCGACCTTCCTCATGGGCATCTTGCAAGGCCTTGAGCATGTTCAGCCTCGAATTGTCAACGGTGCCGCTTTCCAAGACTTCATCAACGCGCTTGCCAAGGACCTTCTGCACACTCAGCCAGCGCATGTAGCGCGGAGGCCAATACTTTGCAAAGGATGGCTCGCCCGTGCGCCGTTGCGTCTCAAAGAGCAGCAATTCGCCTGCATCGGAAAACCTCAGTGACATGCTAGATGATATTCAAGGGAATAGCACGCGCATTCCAAAGAAAGTGGATGAGTATTCATGTTTATTCTCAATTCTAAAACTCAAAAAGGAACTGGAGCAATTCATGGAAACGAAAGCTCCCTCTCAGTCTCCGCTTTGCTCAAGGCTTTGGGATGCTGTTCTGGAAGAAGTGTCATCGTCGCCTTGGAATTGAAACCAAAGCCAATGCTGCCGATGACGTCGAGGGTCACAAACTTCATGTAATTCTGGATGTCGCACTCCACCTCTCGTCGTTGTTTTTGGAAAACTTATGATTTGGTTTCTAGATTTTGTTGGGACACTCAATGGTTTGCTTCTTAGATGTCACGTCCTGCACCTCTCCATCCCTCTCCCGCCTCTCCCTCTTGGATGTTGGCGTTGAGCACGAAGCGCAACATGTCCGCCTTCTCCGAGACCTGGGACGAGTAACCCTCCAAGAACTTGTCACTGAACAACGGCGCCACCAAACGACGGTGCAAAGCCCAGGAAGACTGCGGACCCGTATTTCGCAATGCCAGCAGGCCCTTGGGCATGGTGGTGTCAAAGCCGGTGCCGCTGGGGCGCGAATGGAAGAGATCCTTCTTGGATTGAATCTCTCCAATGATGGCAGGATCAGCCGTGAACAACATGAACTCCATGTTGGGAAAAAGCCACACGGGCAGGCGTACCCCCCAAGTAAGGCCCAAGTCTTTGAAGTGCTTCTTCACAGGCTCAATGGGTCTCTGACCTTGGATCTTTTCCAACTCAACAATGCCAGCGAAGATAGGTCCTGGCTCTTTTGGCTGAGGTGTGTCAGCAAAGAAGGCTTGACGTGCTCGGCCCTGTCGTAAGAGGTAGGCATAGACGGCAGCGGGTGTAAGAACAGCTGCCCCAGCCGCCACGCACCAGTTCGGGACATCCACACCCCCGATGCTGGGCATATCTCTTCGAAAGCACTAGCCTAGGGCCTAGGGTGTCTACTACTCTTGAGCTGTCAAATGCTCGCCTCAATAAAATCAAAAAAGAGACCTGCATGTCAATGTATAATCTATGTTTGAGGTTGGGTAGCTCAACCGTCGGAAAGTGACTCTCGAAGTTCACGATCGCAAATGAAAACCGCTCTCAAAAGCAGCCGCGGACTTTTCGCGGACTCGTGGCCATCAGGCTTCAAGGTGCGCATGCCCTCCCAGCTATCGGGAGGAAAACAGGTGGTTCGAGCAACAAAGCGGCAAAGCTTCGGCTTCGTCCACGAACCTCAGTGAACCTGTGCAGCAGCGAAAACATGTGATGGCATCACATTCACACCGGTCAAAGGTGGTGTGTCAAGTGGTTGCTGCTGCTTCGGCCTCCTGCTCTTCGTACAGGTCTTGGCCAAGGTCGTGGGCGCATACCCTGCAAGGTACGAGGGTGTGCGTCACATTCGCTGTGCGCTGGCTCGCACATTGCTGACTTGCATGCCAGCTACTTCCATAGTTGGTGTGGAAGATGTTGGCATTTATGGCAAATCTCAGGCGGTTGCGGGCTCTGACTCGGACTTCTTCTTTGTATCGAGTCCTCATGGTCTCTGCTTGCAGCTCGTAGTTCTCCCGTTGTCGACGGAAGTCCTTTTGGAAGCAGGTTTGTTGGTCTTGTAGTCGTTGTTCAGCCTGCTGGAGCTGTGCTTGTAGGTGAGTGTTCTGTGCCTCGAGTTGTTTTATCTGTCTCCTGAGGGAGATGAGTGTCTCTGGCTCGACATGTGTTGTCTGAGTGCTCTTGTCGTTCTGTTTATTGTCGCTGCCAGTGTGTTCTTCTGGATGCGGCACATCCTCATCTGTTCTGGGGGGCTGCTGTGGCTTGTTTGCCACTCGGGTGCAGAGGTGCCATATCAGGTTGGCGAGCATCGCAACCATCAGGGTGAAACCTGTAAGGAAGATGAAGTTTTGGTTGTCCATCAGGTGGTCTTGGAAGTTGTCTGTGTGTTCAATGGAGTGCGCAGTGGTTGTGGTAGCTAGAGAGGCGAACATAGCCATTTGGGCCAATGGCTTGGTGAGCGCGTAGCGCATCTGGCTTTGCTTTCGGCTTTCCAAGGTCTTTTTCTTGGACGCTGTGAAGTTAATATCCGGCTTCAGGCATGTTGTGTGGCTTCGTAGTCTTTGTGCTAGCAAGCTTGCTGCACTCTGTTTTGTCACGCCGTCTGCGAACTGTAGTTCGCTTGAGACCCAGGAGACGGTCGCTCCTGTGCAGGACAGTTTGTCCCGTGTCACTAGCACTTCGATGCTAGTCTGTTTGTCTGTTTGGGATGCTGTCTGTAGGTCTTGTTTGACCAGCAGGTCGTACAGAGCTTTGGTGTGTTGCTATCTTCGAGGGCTAGATATGGTGACCATATCAGTTTCCAGAAGGTGGAAGCATACAGCAGTGCATCTGCTGCTTCTGAGGCTGCCTGGCTTTCTGCTGCTAAGCTGGATCGGGCGATCCTTGGGAGTTTCCATGATCTCCAGTCGATCAGATGGTAGCCTCCTTCTGAGCCTGTTGTGACTGAGTGGTGTGTCATCATCACCAAGTGACCTCCTTGTGAAGTCAGGTCTGCTCTTGAAGCGAATGCAGCGTCGCTGTAGACGATGAATGTCATCTCTTCTGGCTTGCCCAGCTTTTGGAATCGTAGACCCACATCTGAGTATTGTTTGGCGTAACGTAGGCATTTGTTGGCTTCTCGAAGGGTCGAGATGTTGGCGCGACTCACTTGTCCAGCTAGCATGCTGGTCATGGCTTGGACATGAGGGCTGCTCTGAGTCGAGGGCCATTGGAGTGCTCCGACAATGCCTCGCAACATTGTGCGTTGTTTCTCTGTCACTGGTTGGTCGTTGGGTCCCTCTTCAAAGCCAATGGGCTTCTGCTTTGCCATGTAGGCAGTGTGTTGTAGTTCGTAATGATGTTCATTGATCCTTTGGATCTTTGCCCCACAGTACTCTATGTCTGTGTTCTGTTCCCATGTCCGGAAGTTGAAGGTCTTCCGCAGGGATGCAATGAACTTTGCACAGTAGCTGTTGTCCATGTCGGCACATCCAAGGATGTCGTACATAGGCTTTTTGAGCTTCATGAGGGCGTTGTCGCCATCGGTGCCAGTGAGGCCGAGGAGTCGTCTGGCGTCTGGTGGCAATTTGATCCATAGTGTGCGATGGCTAGGATGTTCCTTGCCTTGGAGGAATGCTGTGCTGACATCTGCGCTGAAGCTTGTCCAACCATTGTTGGCGCAGATTGAGAGGATGTAGTTTCGTCCCATCCGACTCAGCGTTGGAGCGTCAGTGCTGAGTTGGCCATTTAAGGCATCAGGATCTGTCTTTGAATCCTTGGGTGATGAGCCTTGCTTTTGCTCTGGGTTCACCGTTTGGCCATTTTCTCCACTTCAGGATGAAGTGTGCTTTGAGTATTCGGTCGCTAGGGACCGTGCCGTTGTCTTTGACCATTTCCCACACGTCGTTCTGGAAGAAACTTTCCAGTTCTTTCTTCTTTGCCTCCATGAAGGCGAGGCGATCAGCGAGTGTCATCCTTCGCTCATTGAGCTGATCCTTGCGGGCTTTGATGCCCGGCATGCTGTGGCCTGGTGGGCCTGTTTCTTCGGCTGTGTGTGCCTGTTCGGTGGTAGGCTCGACGTATGTCTGGTGGCCATGGCTGACATTATAGAAAGCTTCATGAGCAAGCAGGTGGTAGGCCGGCATGATTTTGAAGCTCGTCTGTCCTGTCCAGGCATGTTCTGTGGTTATGTTGCCCTTCTTCTTCCATCTGTCGTACTTGTTGAGGTTGGCTGAACCGGTTGTGTGTCGGTCTTTGCTGATGTAGTGCAAAGGCAAAGGGCATCCAGCTGTTTCGTCGGCTGGGTCAAAGAGCTGATTCCGTGGGATGTAGTGGCGACGTATCAGCTTGTTGTTCTGAATTGTCCATTCGTCCTTGCAGACGTCCAGGGTCAGGAATCCATTTTCTAACTTCCAGCCCGGTGGCAGTGTTGAGTCATCGACTCTGTTGAGATCAGTGTCGTAGGTGCTGAGGGTGAGTGCCATATCTGGATCCGGTGGTGCCGGTTTGGCATATGGTGTCGGACCTCGTGTGGTGTTGTGACCTCTTGCTTGTGGTCCGTATCGGTCTTGTCCAGATGCGGTTGGCTGGAGAGAGAGTGTCTCTTGTCGATCAAATCGCGTCCTCTGGTCGTGGAAGCTCTCTGTTGGCGCTGGTGGTGCATAAAGTTGCTGCTGATGTTCTGGAATTTGTCCACCATCATAGTGCACACTTGCCGTGGTGGCATGTGGTGTTGGTGCACCGTGTGTGCTCGGTGGTGGTTCTGGTTCGCCAGCGCTGTCCTGTTCTGTGATCTCTGTAATGTTCAGATCAACTGTTGGTGCTCCTGGTGGTGCCTCTTGGCGTGACTGTTCATGGGCTGCTGTTGTGTCGATCTGTGGTTCATCTCCAGGTGCATGTCCATCTCCATCCTCATCCATCGGTGTTGGAGTGGTAGTGGGAACATTCGGTGGACTGCTGCTGGAACCGCTATGTCGGTCTGTTCTCAGGACAAAGGTGGTGCTTCCTGTCCATTGGAATGGCATGGATCTGGTGGCATTTGGCAATGTCCAGTCATCTTGGAAGACTGTTCTGTTTCGGGCCGGTTGGTGTGGTCTCATGATGACGGTTCTCCGGATGTCCTGGAAGTTCTGCCACGGTGCTGCGTCGTCATTGTGTGGCGTGTAAAGTGCTTGTCTTGGACTCACATGGATGCGGTGCCATGTGATACCATCTTCTTCGATGTCCCAGTAGTCCTGCTGGGCTGGTTGTGGATCTGGCGCCGTTGCTTCGGTATCTGGTGCTTCTGGCATTTCTTCCTCATCATCAGTGACAATCTCTGTTCGTTTCCTCTTGTTGGACTTGATGAGGTCGGTGTACAGTGTGGTGCTTCTGCCTCGGATGTTGTCCAATGCTTGTCGTGCTCTCTGTAGTGGATCTGTGTCGCTCTGGTGGTTGAGGTCTGGTCGAAGATGTTCTCCGGAAACTCGTAGGAGTGTCGAGCCGTGTGTGATCCAATACGTGTTTGTTGATGGGCCAGTTCGGCCTGGTTCTGTCATCACGACAGTTGCTGGACCCTTCCATCGGATCTTTGGGCCTGCTCCTCCAGGGGCATCTCTCCAGTAGTAGACCAGTTGTCCAGTGGAGTAGGTGTATTGTACTGCTTGATGCTGTCGGAGGAGTGCTCGGCGCAGTCGTGCATCGTTGTCTGCTTCGATCACTGAGATCGCTGCCTGTTTTTGCAGGTGTAGCTTTTGCTCCATGGCTTCTGAGGGCGTCAGCTGTGCTGTAGTGAGGTCGTGATCCATCAGGACACCGGGTATGCGTGGTTGCATGCCCATAGCCCACTGTGTCGGACTGAAGCCTTGGACATTGGTGGTGTTGTTGATCTGGGGGATCACGTAGCATAGCGCCTGTGTGATCCGCTCACGGGTGCTCATGCGCGGATCGAAGTCTGGTCTCTCTTGTTGTGCTGCTGTGAAGAGTTCGATGCCTCGTCGTAGGACTTGATGTCTTCGCTCAAGCACGCTTAGCCGTGTGTGTGCTTGGCCTGGTGAGATCTCCAGTTGTATGCCGAGGTCGCTGGTCCATGTTCTTGTGGTGTCTGAGCTCCATCCTCTGTGGTCGTCGACTTGAAGGAGTGTTGGTGGACCAAAGTGTCTGATCCATCCTCGTTCAAGTCCTCGGATGAAGTCATCCGATTGTTCAGAGTCAATGACCCGAGCGGACATGAACTTGGTAGTGGCGTCGATCATGCTGAGGACTGGAACTGCTTGTGGCTTGTGGCCATTGTGTATTCGCGGTAGGTGTATCCAGACTGTGTCTGCTTGTACTCTGCTGTTGAAACTGCCTCCTGTTCGGAGTGTGCTCTTGGCCACTTGTGGTGGTGGTCGGTGTGCATCACATAGTTGGCAGTGATGCTGTTGCGCAGCTGCCACAATCGAAGGACTGGCATTCTTGCTCTTGAGGAGCTTGGCCAGCTCGAGATTGGTGGGGTGCCCAAGGTTCCGGTGGATCCTTTGGACTGTTCTCTGGGCTGCTGACCATTGTGTCTCTTGCAATCTGGTGAGTATGCCTCGATTGTTGTCAGACTGTTCGTCGTTGTCATAGACCTGTGGCTGTTGTTCTGCCACTGCCTGTTGTGGCTGTAATGCTACTTGCTGTTCTGCCGGTTGTACTGCATCATGTTCTGCCGGATATGCTTCTTCGGTGGGTGGCCAGTACTCGGTGAGCATGAAGGTGTTCATGATCTGGGCCCACTCTCTGCACATGTCTGTGTTGTAGCTGCCAGCTGCTGCGGCTCTGTTGCCAATGTGTGGGGAGC